AGTCTGACCTCCACACAACCACCTGCAGGGCCAATGGACTGGGACCAGGCTCCAGAACCAGGGACCGGGCCCATGGAGATCCTCTCCCCAGAGACAGAGCACCCCGGGCCCCCACAGGCCCATGGACCGGGACCAGGCTCCAGAACCAGGGACCGAGCCCATGGAGATCCTCTCCCCAGAGATGGAGCACTGCGGGCCTGCCACAAGCTGAGCGCACCGTCTGACCTCCACACAACCACCTGCAGGGCCCATGGACCGGGCCCATGGTCCAGAACCAGGGACCGGGCCCATGGAGATCCATTCGGGGGACAAAGCTGAGCATTAAACGGACAAAAAGCCGCACAGCACTTGACCTTTGACCCCTAGAGAACGCCGCACAGGGCCCGTGGAAAATATACAATATTAATAGGACAGAACTCGACATCACAGGGGACTTTAATCGGCATTGCCTGGGTCCAGAACCAGGGCCTGGGCCCAGGGACCGGGCCCATGGTCCAGAACCAGGCTCCAGAACCAGGGACCTGGCCCATGGAGATCCTCTCCCCCAGAGACGGAGCACCGCGGGCCCGCAACAGGCTGAGCGCACAGTCTGACCTCCACACATCCACCTGCAGGGCCCCTGGACCAGGCCCATGGTCCAGAACCAGGGACCGGGCCCATGAAGATCCATTCGGGGGACAAAGCTGAGCATTAAACGGACAGAAAGCCGCACAGCACTTGACCTTTGAACCCTAGAGAACGTCACAGAGGGCATGGCCTGGGTCCAGAACCAGGGTCCAGAACCAGGGACCGGGCCCATGGACCGGGACCAGGCTCCAGACCCAGGGGCCGGGCCCATGGAGATCCTCTCCCAAGAGGTGGAGCACTGCGGGCCCGCCTGCCACGGGCTGAGCGCACCGTCTGACCTCCACACAACCACCTGCAGGGCCATGCTCATTCGGGGGACAGAGCTGAGCATTATACGGACAGAAAGCCGCACAGCACTTGACCTTTAACCCCTAGAGAACTTTGTAAAACCACACCCCGTGGTGAAACCCACACATGCGTTTTCCCAATCCTGTGAGTTAACCCGCTTTCAACTTCAACTTTTAAATAGGAAAGATTTAAAATTCAGCATTAAACTGCATTCACACAAGGGATCCACACACTGTGCCTCCAGAACCAGCGGAGCAAGTGGAGCTCCTCTCCCCAGAGATGGAGCACTCTGGGCCCGCATCAACCTCCGTGGAGCAGCCCCTGGTTCTCCAGAACCAACATCATGTCACACACACCACCCGTTTTGCCCACCTCAGCCCACACTGGCACTCAAAAGCTCGAAAAACCCCAACAATGATCCTGTTTGTCCAACTTGGGACCCATTTGTCCAACCTCACCCCTCGCCAAACGCTCCGAAATCACCGTAAAAGTACTTAATACTCAAATCTGTCCCACTTGGGTCCCATTTGTCCCACCTCACCCCTCGCCAAACGCTCCGATAATGGCGTGAAAGTACTTAATACACACATCTGGCCCTATTTGGTCCCCTTTGTCCCACCTCACCCCACCACCGGCACTCAAACAGTTAAAAAACAAAATCCACCCAAAATTCCCACTTCGTACCGACTTCTGGCACGCCAGAAACCAAAGGCAAGACTGCCACCCGGTGGATCTGCTCTGTATTGCACATGCACCCAAAGGGCCCACTTGGGACCCTCCTGACACTGTTAAAAGAGTACCGGGGTGGCCTAGTTGCTCTTCCTGCCATGGGGGACCCAAACGGGCCAGGAGTCTGGACGACAAATAGGACACTCCGGTCACTTTTTCTCTGGCTTTTAACCCTAACCCTAACCTAACCTTACACTTAGCCAGTCCCTACCCTTGACACTTGCCCTAAACCTAATTTAAGCCCTTACTATCAACTTACCAGACCAATTAGCTACTAACCCTAATATTAGTGGAATCCATGCCTAACCCTAAAACCTGACCCTTGCCTTAAAACTACACTTAGCCAGTCCCTAGCCTTGACACTTGCCCTAACCCTAATTTAAGCCCTTACTATCACCTTACCAGACTAATTAGCTACTGACCCTAATGTTAGTGAAATCCATGCCTAACCCTAAAACCTGACCCTTGCTTTAAAATTACACTTAGCCGGTCCCTAGCCTTGACACTTGCCTTACTCTGATAGCTAACCCTAGTTCTTGAAGTTTTACAAACTGGTTTGACTATGGATCTGAGAGATACCAACAAACGTGCGTGGGCCCGTGCATTGCCTTTGATCCCCTAGCCAACTGCTCGGGCCGTCGGGCTGAGTGGGGGGGGGTCATCGAGAGAGTGTCTAACGCCTAACCCTAACCCTAGCGTTATTTTGGCCCTTAAGGCATGCCGTAGTTAGGACAGCGATGACGTCATCGCGTTGCCGTGACGAACGTTGCTGCTGCCTGTTGGAAAGTTCGGCAGTTGAGCCACTGTGCTAACACAGGGAAAGGACTTGGAAATATGTGTGTTCTTCAAATAAGTGTGCGTCACTGATGAGTAAGTTTAATATTTGAGTCTTTGTTGCAGTTAAATTTGTTATTTTTTTTGTTCTTAGTTACCTGTTGATAAGTCTTGGTTATCTGCTATGTGTGTGTATTGTGCCGAACCTACGCATCCACTAGATGGCGCCAAGCCATGATTGTTAGTTAACTTTTGTCGTTTGCTGATTAACAGTACATTAGAGAATGAACTTTTTAGAATTTAATTATTTCCTCCTTAGGTTATCTATGGTTTGATGTGTAATGATAGGGTAATTTGAATTATCAGTCTACCCTGAAAAGTGCACTTGGATGAACCCTCCCCCCTTGACTTTTGACTATTTTCCCCCGACTTTTACTACTGACATTGATTGAACTAAGAGCAACTGCTCTCAGGAAGGAACAAAGGAAAATCATACTCTCTAAGATACACTTTCTTTCTTAGTTAAAGGGCCCACAGGTTATGTTATTATTATTGTGTATTGTATTATATGTTGCAGTGTTCCTTTTGGCAACTAAAATCTACAATAACTACAACCACCTGTGTGTTTGGTCTCTCTCAGCTCCTACGAACCTAGTCTGTGACGTGTACATACCTTGAAGTGGGTTACATATGCTTAAAGCAATCCTGGTTTGAATCCGGGACACGGCAAAGCTAGTAAAAAAAAAAACATGCCGAAACCTCCAGGGGAGTGGCGGCCTTTGATTATGTCCTAAAATAAATAAAGGCACTTCGGAAAAATAATCCAACATTGTTTTTATACAATATAAAGAAAAAAACAGAAGAACAATCGATTCCAGACACAACATCTCCACTCCTTCTATAAGCTGCTGAACAGCAGATGTTTCTCTGCTGCAGTGTCACCAATTCCTCAGCAAGAAAAGTCCCTATTGGCTGTCCTAAAAGGCGTTACAGCATCTTCTATGTAGCATAATTCATGTCTTCCAGGAGATTTTAAATCCCTGCATTTTTTTATTTTGTTTTGTATTGATATTTGTTGCCTGTCTGTCAAAGCAGTGCAGAGAGATAGGATAATTTCTGTAGAAATTAATTTAATTCCACAGTCCATACCAATTTGAGGCATAAATGCAACATTAGGTGCTTTCACTCCAGCAGCAGTGGACACTGGAGAAGCCCCAGTCAATCAGGAGGACAGTGTTCAATTCAATAGTTTCTAACACCCAGAGAAAATAAAGTGATCCATGATTTAATCAGAATCAGAATCAGGTTTATTGCCATTGTTAGTGAAGGAGTTCACAAATGAGGGATTTTTTATGGTACAATCGTGCAACATGAAACATATGATATGGAATAGGTAAATAAAATTATAAAAATATCTAAAACACTGTGGGTATAAGGCGTGCAATAAAATAGACTAATATATACACTTAGGATAAAAATATGGATAAAAATATAAAAAGTAAAATAGTATCTTACAAGGTAGTGCAAATAGAGCAGTATAAATGGCATGGGCAGGTTATAGAGTCTGACATATAGTTAGATGTTCATGAGTCTTATGGCAGAGGGGAAGAAGCTGTTTTTATGGTGGGAGGTTCTGGTCCGTATGGACCGTATCCTCCTCACTGAGGGGAGAGGTTCAAACAGTCTGTGTCCAGGGTGAGAAGGGTCGGCTGTGATGCGACCTGCATGCCTCCTGGTCCTGGAGAGATGGCAGCTTACAGCCGATCACCTTCTCAGCACAATGTGCTGCAGTTGGTATTTGTCCCTGGTGGTGGCGCCAGCGTACCACACGGTGATGGAGAAGGTGAGGATGGACTCAATGATGGAGGTCGAGAGATGTTCTGCTGTTGAAGAACATTAAACAGACGATTAAACAAGTTTCAGTCTAGCTTGTTGTCATTTCCTCTGCCTGAGCAAAGAGGAAGTGTGATGTGTTCTAATGAGCTGCAGTCAGTCCACTAACACCCAGCAGCTCTGAGACTCTGCAGACAGAGCAGTTAAACCGAGTCAGAACAGAATCCAACCAGGTCAAAGTGGACCCCTTACAGGAGAGGAGTCAGACTCAGACCCACAGATCAAATGTGATCAATGAGATCAATCCAAATGTCTACTAGAGCTGACCCACTGGTAGACAGAACATTCACTGCTTATACTACAACTCCCAGAATGCTCTGCTGGTGAGTTGAGCTGATGCTACAACCAATCACATCAATAGAAGAAGAGATGCCAGCTATCTGGGTTGGACCAGAGAGCATCAGTGTAGATCAGAGAGCAGCAAACTGAGCTTTAATGATTGTTTCCTTTATGCTCTGTTCTTCCTGATCAAAGGAAAAACGGATTGGTTGGATTTTATAGGAGGAAGTTATTTTAAAAGCTGCATGAGACTTTTATGTTGTTTAACAAATGAAGACAGTTTTCACGAGAAATGAGATCATTCAATGTGACTCTCATCGATCATAGGGAAATTTCTAATCTTCATGGGAAACAGATCTGAATTTAATTGTGATGTGAGATTAATCTGCCTCTGATTGGCTCTCCAGTATCTATATGATGTGATTGAGATAATGACACATTAATCAGTTTCTGTCTGACTGCCTCCAGATTTTAGTCTGAGAACAAATTTAAAGATTCTACATTGATTAAAAATAATCTGCAACAAGATTAAAAATGTAGCTTATTTGTCAGGAGATACAAAAATAAAAGGAAAATCACACTTTTACAGATGTAAAATCAAAATAAAATGTTTTTAAGTATAAACCATGTTGATGAAGGTCAGCTTGGTCAGATTGTGGCAGCAGTAGAACGTTCTCCGTCATTTTCATAATCTACTGCATCCTCATCAACAGCATAATGAACCTGTGAGATAAAACCAAACATTAACCTTTATAATACAGCTATAGAAACAAAATGAACATTTAGAGAGACATTTCAAAGCAACATAAATGCTATGACAGAAAATCCTTTCGAACTGCTGATTTATTCATTACTCTGAGAAAATAACAGTTTGACACTATTTAAAGTCAATAAATCTTCTTCATTGTTTATTAATATATTTGTTCTGTTGTTTGAAAATATGCAAACTGTACAGAAAATTCCAAACTGGGCTTTAAACCAGAACATTCTTCCTGCAGAAGCTTGTAAATCTGTTGTGTTCAAACAGGATCTCAGCAGAAAGAGGGACTGGCGGTCCAGTGGTTAGGGCATTGCGCTTGGTATCCAGAGCTTCTGAGGTCAAGCCCCACTCCCACAGACTGCCACTCTGGGTCCCTGAGCAAGATGCTTAACCCCACACTGCTCGCCAAGCGCCGCACAGTGGCAGCCCATTGCTCGCCAAGGGGATGGGTTAAATGCAGAGAGTTCATTTCATTGCTTTGTACTTGTGACAGTGTAATGACACTTACAGTTAGTTTAATTCTTTTCTAAAAGTTGAGTAATTTTTCTAAAAGTTTGTAATTTAGAATCTCTATGTAAAATATCTATGAAGGTATTTTTAATGATGGATTTTTTTTTCACTTACATTAATGTCTTTCTGATGCTTTTTGCTTCCTGGGAAGGAAAGGAAAAAAAAGATTAACATAAAAAAATCTGTAGCTTTGCTCCATTCTGTTCCAGTTTGCTCACCTCTGGTTCTGATGATATCAGCAGTGATTCCAACCATCAGGATCAGAGCTGTGATCCTCAGAGTCAACATGATGAAGCTCAGAGGAGACCAGTCTGGGGAACCTGTGGATGGTTCTGAATTCAGAGGAAAACAATTTAACATCATGGTGGATTTTCCATCAGAATCAACAGCATCTTCTCTCCAACAAGTTCAGAACTTAACAGTGTGAACTGAAGCTCAATGAATTTATTCCATGTACCGCCTTTTATCTATTAGATGTCTAAGATGACCAAATCATTTATAATTAACTGACTTATTATGGATATTAACGTCCATTGCAACCACTGCCTGTCTGCATCCATTCAGCTGAAAGCTCCGTTTTTAAAGATCAGGTCTGTTATTGAAATCAGGTTAAACTTTCTATGTTATCAAACATTTCAATCAGAGTCAGAAACACTTTAATGTTAAATTTAATGTCAGCTCATGCTGTTCTGTTTGGGTCCTTCTGAATGTCTGATTTGGATCAACATTTAGAACCAAGGAGAACCTGCACCACCGTCATGGTGAAGAAAAGCGGAGATCTACACAACAGTTGTTTGCTAAAGAGTCACTGTGGTTGTTATAATGAAAAATTAAAACAGGAAACCAGGAATTATATCTCTATAATCCAGAAAGAAAAAAAATATTGACAAAGAAGCTGATGTTTTTTCATTGTATGAATTTAAACCTCTTCGTGAAAAAATATGTCAGTAGAGACGGATGAGTAATGACATCATACCTTCCAGCTGGTAGTGAGCTTCTATCTTCACTGTGTTTCCATCAACAAACTGGCAGCTGTAGCTTCTGTTGCTGCTGCTCTGAAGCTTCACAGTGAGATAAGAATCACAGCCAGTCCGTCTAAACTGGTACCCAACACCTTCACCAGTCAGAACAGTTCCTGTCTCATCCACCCAGAGGAGGCTGTTCTGTGGACAAGAACCCAACCCACTCCACCTATCAAGAGAACACTGTAATGTGACATCACCATCCTTTGTTGGATCAGCAGCTGGTGAAGATGGAGAGACTGAAAGAAACAAGAAAATGTGTGAAAGTTAGAGACAAAACTTTATCTGAAATCATTTAAAAAACGCAATAAATCTTTAGATGTTGTCTCCATGCTTCTTGGTGATTGATGCACAAATGTTACAGATCTGAGCAGGTATTTATCTGCATGATGGAACAAAACAAGAAAACTTTCCAAATGAAAGTAAATGATGCAATGGTTTCCATCCATCCATCCATTTTCTTTACACGCTTGTCCCAAGTGGGGTCGCGAGGGGTGCTGGTGCCTATCTCCAGCAGTCAATGGGCGAGAGGCGGGGTACACACTGGACAGGTCGCCAGTCCATCGCAGGGCAACACAGAGACACACAGGACAAACAACCATTCATGCACACACTCACACCTAAGGACAATTTAGAGAAGCCAATCAACCTAACAGTCATGCTTTTTGACTGTGGGAGGAAGCAGGAGTACCCAGAGAGAACCCAGGCATGCTCAGGGAGAACATGCAAACTCCATGCAAAAAAAAGACCCCAGGCCAGGAATTGAACCCAGAACCTTCTTGCTGCAAGGCAACAGTGCTACCCACTGCTCCACTGAGCAGCCCTCCGCAATGATTTGATCAAAGCATTTAATCACACAATACAAGAGAAACTAATTGAATCTAAACAGCCCCACAGCAGCTGAGCACAACGTTTATTCTGATGAGGTCACTTCCTGATGTCAGGCTCCTCAAAGCTTGGCCCCGCCTTTAGCTCAAACAGGAAGCAGCCGAAACCCAACAAAGAAAACTCAACAAAAACACAGTTGGAGGCAGAAATAAGATTTAAAAACCACAATGAGTTTGGTTTGATCTTTGTTAGGTACAAAAACGATCATCCATGAAATAAATGAATCTTTTACTATCAGATCTTTGACTGTAAAGTCAAACTAAGTGTTTGGACTGATGTGTGGTTGAAGCATCACACAGAGCTGAATAAATGATTGGTTCACACTCTGACAGAACAACATTTGAACTTCTGACTGCATCAGATATTCATCAGAACTGTTGATGTCAGAAACATCTGTCCAACACAAGTATTTCACAATGTTAATGAGAAGGAAAGAGTCTGACAGCATCAGATCATTCAGGTCTACATACTCACTGGTCAGAACGTTCAGAAGCACAACGCCATCATTGGTGGATCCTGAACCAAATCGACAGGAGTACATTCCAGCATCTTCAGCAGTCATGTTGATGATGATCAGAGAGCAGTTATTGTCCACATTTAACCTGGCAGCTCGAGGTGAACTCTGAACTTTTCCATCCTTAACCTGCTGATGATCAGTGGACGAATCTCTGCTGTAAAACCAGTTAATAGTGGAGCAGTTTGTAGAACTGCTACAAGGTAGAACGGCATCATCTCCAGATCTATGATAGAGTTGAAGATATCCTCCTTCAGTTCCTGCAGCAGAGACAAAGACACATTCAAGTTTTACACGTTTTATCCTTCAAAAATTCAACCATGAAGCTGCTTTGTTGTAACCATTTGGAAAATCTATTGAAGACATTTCTTTGTCAACATTTATAAAATTTTAATCTCTGTTTCTGAGCATTCTAAGCAAATATCTCAGTAAACCTGAGTCAATTTCTCTCAGTTTAATCTAAAAGAAAACAGATCTTTACCTTCAACATGAAAAACAACGATCAGAATCAGCTCCAACATCTCCTGTCCTTCTATCAGCTGCTGAAAACTGAAAGACGTTTCTCTGCTGCAGATCTAACAGTAATGATCTTATTTCCTCTTTAAAGAGGAAGTGTGATGTATTCTAATGAGCTGCAGTCAGTCCACTAACACCCAGCAGCTCTGAGACTCTGCAGACAGAGCAGTTAAACCGAGTCAGAACAGAATCCAAGCAGGTCAAAGTGGACCCCTTACAGCAGAGGAGTCAGACTCAGGGCAGGTATACACTGTTCCCTACTAAAGCTGAAGCTACACGACTAAATCATAGGGTTTAAAGTTCACTGGATGGTCTGATGCTCTGATGCATTCTGACTGTTCACACTGTACGTCCAAAAATAACATTCTCAGCACCATAGAGAGATGGTGCCAAATGGACTCATCTACCCAGAGGTAAAGTCAGAGAAAAAACTTGTTTGCACATGCGCAGTGCACGAGGTAAACAACCCCTATTTAACATAGCTGCCATCTTGGGCGGCTCTCTCACGCCCCCCTCCCCTCCATGCATTAATTCATTAATTCACACTTAGGAAGTTGTTTGCTGAACTAAAATTTTCTGGAGGGTTGTTTAGTTGCAAATGACAGAGATATATTTATGATACAGGAAGCTGTTTGTCATATTAACAAATATATGAGTGAACATGTTCTATGCAGGAAAACGTTATGCTGTTTAGCAAATACAGAAATATGATGTGGCAATTTTTTTAAGGTGATTTTTTGGTTAAATTGAGCAGGTAAGCTGATGGAATAAGAAAATTAAAATTTAAAATAAGAAAAAAAAACAAATACAGACTCACTTTTTGTGCATAATATATAATTATCTTAATTTAAGGGTAAAAATGCTCATTTCATTGTCAGAACATCATATTTAGCTACTCAAATCAAGGGTAAACAAACAAATTTTGAGAAATTTTGATTGATTTTTAGATCTTTTTTGTAGTGTGTTTATATTTCATTAAATAAAACACTTTATCAGACAAGGGTGACATGTTATTTGTCTTTGACAGGACTCCACATCAGCCTCAACACATCTAGGACACTGAAAAGAGACACAATGCACAGAAAACACACCAAGATAAATTTAAATACACATTGATAAAAGAAAATAAAAACCTGATTCATTAAATCCTTCTGCTGTTGAATCAACCCATTGACTCAAAGGCAATCCCTCACTCTAAGCATGCTTGTAGCGACATCCATCCATCCATCCATCCATCCATCCATCCATCCATCCATCCATCCATCCATCCATCCATCCATCCATCCATCCATCCATCCATCCATCCATCCATCCATCCATCCATCCATCCATCCATCTACCTCCGCTTATCCAGGGTCGGGTCGCGGGGCAGCAGCTTAAGAAAGGAGGCCCAGACGTCCCTCTCCCCAGCCACTTCTTCTAGCCCCTCAGGAGGAACCCCAAGGCGTTCCCAGGCCAGCCGAGAAACATAGTCTCTCCAGCGTGTCCTGGGTCTTCCCCGGGGCCCATTTGAGGTGCCCGGAACACCTCACCAGGGAGGCGTCCAGGAGGCATCCTAACCAGAAGCCCGAGCCGCTTGTATCTGAGATCTCGTTCTTTCGGTCATGACCCAGAGTTCATGGCCATAGATGAGGGTAGGAACATAGATCGACCGGTACAGGTCCTGCTTCACGGCAGACGCTGCGCCAATCAGTCTGTTGATCTCCCGCTCCCTTCGTCCCTCATTCGTGAACAAGATGCCGAGATACTTAAACTCCTCTACTTGGGGCAGGACAGCCTCCCTGACCCGGAGAAGGCACTCTACCCTTTTCCGGCTCAAGACCATGGCCTCGGATTTGGAGGCACTGATTCCCATCCCGGCTGCTTTACACTCGGCTGCAAACTGATCCAGCGAGGGCTGCAGATCACGACCTGATGAAGCCATTAGGACCACATCATCTGCAAAAAGCAGAGACCCAATCCTAAGGCCACCAAAACGGATCCCCTCAACACCTTGGCTCTGCCTAGAAATTCTGTCCATGAGGGTAATGAACAGAATCGGTGACAAAGGGCAGCCCTGGCGGAGTCCATCTCTCACCGGAAGCGAGCCCGACTTACTGCCGGCAATGCGGACCAGACTCTGACACCGGTCATACAGGGACCTGACAGCCCGTATCAAAGGGCCCGGCACCCCGTACTCCCGGAGAACCCCCCACAGGGCCCCCCGAGGGACACAGTTGAACGCCTTCTCCAAGTCCACAAAGCACATATAGACTGGTTGGGCGAACTCCCATGCACCCTCTAGGACCCTGCTGAGGGTGTAGAGCTGGTCCAGCGTTCCACGACCAGGACGAAAACCACACTGCTCTTCCTGAATCCGAGGTTCGACTATCCGACAGACCCTCCTCTCCAGCACCTCCGAATAGACCTTGCCGGGGAGGCTTAAGAGTGTGACTCCCCTGTAATTGGAGCACACCCTCTGGTCCCCCTTTTTAAATAGGGGGACCACCACCCCATTCTGCCAATCCAGGAGGACTGCCCCCGATGTCCATGCAATGTTGCAGAGTCGCGTCAGCCAACACAACCCTACAACATCCAGGACCTTGAGCAACTCCGGCCGGATCTCATCCACCCCCGGGGCCCTGCCACCGAGGAGCTTTTTGACCACCTCGGCGACCTCGCCCACAGAGATTGGAGAGCCCAGCCCAGAGTCCCCAGGCCCAGCTTCCTCAATGGAAGGCATGTCGGTGGGATTGAGGAGGTCTTCGAAGTATTCCGCCCAGCGACCCACAACGTCCTGAGTCGAGGTCAGCAGCACACCATCCCCACTATAGACAGTGTTGGTGCTGCACCGCTTCCCCCTCCTGAGACGCCGGATGGCTGACCAGAATCGCTTCGGAGCCGTACGGAAATCTTTCTCCATGGCCTCTCCAAACTCTTCCCACACCCGAGTTTTTGACTCAGCAACCGTCCGAGCGGCATGCCGCTTCGCCCGCCGGTACCCATCAGCTGATACCAGAGTCCCACAGGCCAAAAAGGCCCGATAGGCCTCCTTCTTCAACCTGACAGCATCCCTCACTGGAGGTGTCCACCAACGGGTTTGAGGGTTGCCGACTCGACAGGCACCGACAACCTCGCGTCCCCAGCTCAGATAAGCCGCCTCGACAATGGAGGAATGGAACATGGTCCACTCGGTCTCAATGTCCCCCACCTCCCCCGGGATGTGTTCGAAGTTCTGCCGGAGATGAGAGTTAAAGCCCCGCCTAACAGGGGACTCCGCCAGATGTTCCCAGCAGACAATCACAACACGTTTGGGCCTGCCAGGTCTGACCGGCATCCTCCCCCACCATCGGAGCCAACTCACCACCAGGTAGTGGTAAATTGGAAAGCTCCGCACCTTTCTTCACCCGAGTGTCCAAGACATACGGCCGCAAGTCCGATGAAACAATGACAAAGTCGATGATTGAACTGCGGCCTAGGGTGTCCTGGTGCCCAGTGCACATATGGACACCCTTATGCTTGAACATGGTGTTCGTTATGGACAATCCATGACGAGCACAGAAGTCCAACAACAGAACACCACTCGAGTTCAGATCAGGGCGGCCATTCCTCCCAACCACGCCCCTCCAGGTCTCATTGTCATTGCCCACGTGAGCGTTGAAGTCTCCCAGCAGAACAATGGAGTCCCCAGGAGAGGCACCCTCCAGTACCCCCTCTAAGGACTCCAAGAAGGGTGGGTAATCTGAACTGTTGTTTGGCCCGTAAGCACAGACAACAGTCAGAAGCCGTCCCCCCACCCGTAGGCGGAGGGAGGCTACCCTCTTGTTCACCGGGGTGAACCCCAACGTACAGGCGCCAAGCGGCAGCGGAGAGGAAAAACTGCCTTTTAACAGGAAGAAACCTTCAGGCATAACAAGAAACCATCATCAACTGATTTACAGCAAGTTTTCCTTTGAAAAAAGAAATTCAAGAAGATCCAAATATGTTTAGAAAAATAATACCTTGTCTACTAAGCGTAATATGTCATAGTTTGCATAGTTTGCAAGTACCTGTTTGAAAACACAGTTGGCCCCCATCAGGATGAACAGAGCAAGCTGTAAGTCGAAGGGTACTGGAGAATATAATATTTATATTTTTAAACAGCGTTTGGATTGTTGCAAACAAACATTTTATGGATAACAGCAACAATATAACATATTGAATAGGTATTTTATAGGTAGGTATAGTTTCCTCCTGGGACCAGGAGAGACTTTCAACATGGTGTCTGAAATAATACGAAGATGAATAGATAAATAAAAATAGAATCATCTTTTTTTAAATCATGCATAAATATTTATAAAAAGGTTGAAACTGAATGAGGAAGAGGTTGGAACCTCAAATGAATGTTCTTATAATGGGCTTGAACAGAACTTACCCATTAAAACCAGATCTACGGTTCTGTTTTCATATAATTAATGGATCAAAATAGATGATGCATGAAATATTCATCATCAAATGTAAACAAGACCACTGATTAAAAACAAAAAGGAAAACAGGTTTAAAATAGAACTACCAGTTCAGATGGTGAAAGGTGACCTACAAACTTTCCAAAAAAGTTTAAAAAACAATCCGCTGGACTTTGTTTTAAAGTTTGAAAATATTTCGCTTCCAGTCCAGGAAACTTTTTCCAATTCAAAATGTCAGAAATAGCGTTGAGTTCCAGGCCTTATAGAGTGGACCAAAAACAAAGCCTTGTTTTTGTTTAAAAAACATGCAAATTGAATCGTACGAACAGGTCCACTCCTTTGATTGGGGGTCGTTTGGCTTCTTCTTTAGCCCGCAATGCCCCATAACTGTCTGTGTCTCTGAAATATGAGTCGTTAAAGGGAACTGTTGGCCTGGCGAGGTGTTCTGTTCTGGGGCTGAGATGATAGCAGGAAGGAATCAACTTAATTGCTGCATTGTTGGTTTTTGAAAGCTGAAATCTGAGTCCCCCCCCCCCTGTTTAAGATTGTTTTTTTTCTTTCTTAACATAGATGGCTTCCTTCACGCTGCTCTCAAACCACATGTCTTCTTTGTCCAAAATGTGAACATTCTGGTCCTAAAAAGAATGTCCTTCGTCCATAAGGTGTAGATGGAGAGCTGAGTCTTGAACAGAGGAGGCCGCTCTTCTGTGTTGGGCCATGCGTCTGTGGAGAGTTTGTTTGGTTTCTCCAATATAGAGATCAGAGCTTTACTCACTGCATTGAACTGCAGACACCACTCTGCTTATATTAGGTCTGGGGGTTTGTCCTTAGGATGCACTACTAAATGTACTGGGACTGTGTGTTTGGAGAAATACCTAAAACC